GGGGGTGGGGGGGGGGGGGGTGGTGGGGGGAGGGGTGGTGTAGAGTGCTATTGTTCTGTCTAGAAGGATTTCTCCAGTTTTATCATGCATACTGCCACCTATAAGCTCCCCCTGTCTACTGTCCACCAAAAAAAGTGGCTGTTGTATAGAGGTGGCTGTTAGTGGAGGATCGATTGTAATCTAAAAGCAGTTAAGGCAGCACTGAGCATACACCCCCAATTGATGGCAGCTGTATCTGCACCTCTTTAATTTGGGAGGTCAGTGGATACTCTCGTGAAAACTGACTCTTTTTTGAGGATTGATTTCTGGACTTCAAAAGAGTTTTTTTCTTGTTCTGTAATGGCAATATAAATATGTACTACAATATTGTTATAATTATTGATTTTTATTATCTATCTGGCATTTAACTGATACTGTCATGTTTTTTCAATTTAGCAAAAAACACAAATATTCAAACCCATACAGCAAGTTACTGGTTCTACTCTTGGCATTATTGGTTTTGGGAATGTTGGACAAGAAGTTGCTAAAAAGGCAAAAGGATTCAAGATGAAAATCTTGTATCACAGTCGTACTAGGAAAGGAGATCAAGAGAAATGCTTAGGTAATGATTGACGAGACAGTACTTTGAAAAACTCTTACTACAGTTGAACCTCCATGAGTGACCACCTCTCGTAAGCAACCACCTCCTATAAGCGACCACCAATCCAAAACACAGTCAAAGCCTTATAGTTGGAACCTCTAGTAAATGACCACCTCCTGTAAGCAACCATGATGACTTTTTGGGCCTGAAGGTTAATGATTATTCATTGTTTTTAACCTCTTTTAAGCGACCACTTGATGCATTCTTTGATCTCTATTTTCGCTGTGTGCACTATGCTACTTAGAATATATGAAGAACTTAGTGACAACATCGAACTACACATGTTGTAATTTAGACATTGCATGCAATAAATTGTCTTCCATAAAGTAAATGTGCCTGGACCTCTTCTCGGAAGAGGCCTCCTGTGGTTTGATTCTTGTAAACGACCACCTCCCGTAAGCAACCAGTCAGTCTTTGCATTTTGGGTGGTCGCTTACGGGAGGTTTGACTGTATTACACAGCTGGTAGTAGGGGAGGGTATAAGGTACACATGAACCCCTTATGACAGGGAAATACCCTCCTTATATGTAAAGAAAATGTATTATTTGCTGCAGCATTTAACAACAGTAATTGGATAACAATAAGGATTTTAAGTGAGTAAATAATTCACTTCATATGAATAGAACTTTATGAGCCCAAAATAAAATAGAATTAAACTTTTGATGTGTATCATTTTTTAAATAGGTGTTTCTTTCTGCCCAGACTTGAAGAAACTGTTGCAAGAGTCGGACTTTGTCATTTTATGCTTGCCATATACTGATCAAACCAAGCATATCATTTCATCTAAGGAACTATGTCTTATGAAACCCACAGCCACACTGATTAATGTGGGTCGTGGTGGAACTGTCAATCATGATGACCTGACAGCAGCACTACAGAATGGAGTCATTAGAGGAGCTGCACTGGATGTTACAGAGCCAACTGATCTTCCTAAAGACCATCCTCTTTTTAAAATGCAAAATGTGATCATCACTCCACATATTGCTTTTTACACAGAGACTTCATTTACAAAACTGTATTCTTGTGCATTGGATAATTTGAAAGCTGGAATCAAAGGGGAAGAATTGCCTTTTCCAGTGAATAATGTCAGTCATTAGTTAGTTAGAGACTTCTATGCCTATTGTATCACCCTTTCTGGGGGCACAAGCAAAAAAAGGTATGTACTTCATCCATAAGAGAAGACAAATTTCTTTGTTTTGACTTAAATCTCAACTTGTGTGCAGTAGCTTAGTGGCAAATTAAAGTATTTTAGGGCATACCATCTTTCATCACAGCTTCCTGGGTGGAGGAGTTTCTTTTTCAGCAAAAAACCCTCCAATTAATTCATTAGCCTTCAAAAAAACTTTCCTGCAGCTCCTGGCGTACCACCCTCATACCCCCAGAAGCTCCAGGAGAGCTTGCTCGCAGGCTAGCAATTCATTGGTGTAAGGGCTTGTAGGGCGTTTTAATGGGGGCGGTGACAGGGGGTCTAAACTTCCTGTCTGCTGTACCTTGAATTTCCTGCTCCAATCGCATTTTTCTTGGCTAATTACACCATTAACGTTTTTTCCAATTAAAAAAAAATGAGCATTGCTGCATAATTTTCCCCTACCTCTCCTGCATCCCCGCCATTTAGAACTTCCACCTTCTGCCTTACATACCCCTCCTGCTCCCTGTTTACTGATGCTCCCACCCCCATACCCCCACATTATAAGGCTATCACTAACCCTTGGACACCAAATTTAGACCATATTTATTTGATTAAGCGCCCATCCTTGAATAAGCACCCACGCATCAAATGACCATCCACCTTATACATAGGAAAAGGTAATAAGTGCTTTGAATAAGTGCCCATCACTCCTCCCCCTCTCCCCAAAAATATTGACCTTACTAACAGTGCTTGAAATTGACTAATTACTACCAGAAACCCATATGAGTTTCTGGTACTACTAAGAGACTTCCCTGAAGACCATCTTAGTATTTTAAAGAAGTTTTCAATGTACAGTTGAAATTAGCATGAAGCTGGCCTAAGAGTTTGCTACTCCCCCCTGGAGGGGATGCTAGTCCTTTGCAGGGTTACCCCCTGTGGTATGTCAGTGGTACCCTTTTTTAACACCTAGCGCCCTCTGTCCCCAAGGTGGCCATTGTAGAGAGGTTTACCTGTACGTACTAGCCAGGCAACTTACATTATTTTTATTTCCAAGTTAAGAAGGTCAATTTTGTTAAAACA